ATACATCAGTCAGTCAGTCGGTCAGTTGGTAAGTCGATATGATTGAGAGACTGACTGATGATGTAAATATATATACGCATATCTATATAATTAATCAGTCTTTCAGTCTCTCAATCAATCATCTATGTATATAAAATTAATTAATTGAGAGGCAGACTGACAGACTGACTGACTGACTGACTGATTAAAGCACAGCCCAAGCCATCTCGCAATCAATCAGTTTTAGATATGATTGTGATACTGACTAACTAATTTATATCAGTCAATCAGTCAGAACAGTTTTATATATATAGAGATAATAAGTCAGTCCGACAGTCGGTCACTCAATCAATCAGCTTTATATCCATAGATATTGACTGACTGACTCACAGGCCAAACCGCAAGCGCTAAAAAATGATTTTCCCAGTAGTTACCTCTACCGCTGTAAATGACACAGTATTCAACTGCTAGAAACTTGCAAAGATCGAGTTTATTTCAAATAATCGATAACTTTCGCATAATCGATAAAGTTCGATACTGTTTTTTGACCATAGCTCTTTGCTTTGAAGAGCTTGAGTGAGATCGGGCAATAGACGTAGAAGTTAATCACGGACACATTTCCCAAAGTGTGTATGTGTGTGTGTGTGTGTGTGTGTGTACTCTTGTGCTTGCATAGAAATAAGCTAGAGTGTATGTACTGGCAGCTGGGCTTAGGGTATCTCCTGGTCGAGCACTGCCGACCCGTGCTTAATTCTTTCTTGAAACTTTCAGGACATTTTCATATCTATACTAAATGTATATGCTCTCTATGTATATGCTTAACTTCCTGACTTCCATTTTCCCAGCTGGATATAAATTTAATAAAATTTTCCCTCAATCGAGTTTGAATTTTATTTATATATATACATATATGTTTATGCTTTGCAATTTGCGTGCCATGAGAAAAATAATGAATTGCATTCCGCATTTGCAGTTTCAATTACACATTTCCAATTTGGCTGGCAAACAAATTGTCAACTGCAGCCGCCGCTGCTGACGTGATGTATACGCCTCATAAGCCAGCGGCATGCCGCATTCTGTGCCCACATACAAAGTCAGCAGCATTTTCATGCATGAATGTATGCGTGCAAACGGCAACGGGGGCAACGGAGGCAACGGGGGCGCCAATGCACGCAAGCCAATTGTTGCTATCCCGCTCGCACCTTCGAGCATCTAAAGCGCGAGGGTGGGCCAGGGCTGTCGAGGATTAGGCAGCACGAAAAAAAACAATGCGACCAAGCAGTGCCCGACTAGCAGATACCCTGTGACTAGCGCTGAGCTAATGTTAACAACATACCAGCTGCCTTCGGTACACACGTTTGCACGTCATCTTCCCATATATTCGAAATGCGTTCTTGAATAACTTGGCTGTTCCATGTCTGATCTTGATGAAATTTTCAAGCCTTTAATATGCCATAAAAAGGTGTGTAAATACCCACGCCCAGGGCAGAGCGTCCAAAATTGAGGCACCGAGCTAGGTATTCAAAACGTAAAACATTCCCAATATATAACATCCTACACTACACGGTGAAGCCTGCACGCATAGATCTATTATACCTGTTCTTAACCATTTTTTACAGAGTATTAACGTAACAGAAGCAAAATAAACGACAAATCTAACGATGCGTTGGAGGCTGGAATATTTGCATTCGAAATTGAGAAATTTCCTCTTTAATATATTTCCAAGTGTTTGCTGGAGTGTATGTGTGTGTGTGTGTGTGTGTGTGTGACACCAAAGTGCCACGAGTATGTTGTGGGCAAAAGTGCTTGGCTGGCAGATACCCTGCAAAGTACAGTACCTTATATACATATTGAACGTAACTAATCTATATACATAAGTATACCTGATTCCATATACGATATCATTAGCTTCCATAGTCTGTAAAAAATATAGTATCTATTTAATACATATTTTATACATATATATATATTTTTAAATATATATTTATATATTTTTTTTTTTTATAATTTTCTTTCTTTTATCCAATATAATATCAAATTTTCAACAGTTTTCCCTAAATTATCCTAAATTATAAATAAAAAGAAATTTAGCCAAACGGCAGTTGGTATCATTTAGTGAGTGTGCCCTGTACTTTTGTTAACACGCATTTACGTATAAAGGATGTATCCATATAAAATACAGGGTGACATTTCTAGAGCAACGCCTCAGGCACAGTTACAGTACAGTACAGTAATGCCTGCCCAAGATGACCAATGCCATTGTTAGGATTTTCAGAGGGTGCAATTAAGGTGCTATTCAAGTTAATAAATAGTTCTTAAACATTTAATAATAACTAATCGTTCAGGTTATGATTAAAAATTTGCATTAATGCCAAGTTTGGTCAAGATATCTGAGAAAGTTCCCGACTAGGGGATAGCAAATTAAAGATACTTGAAGTATATATATATATAAATATATATATACTATTCTGGAAGCTTACAAAACATACGGACAGACGGACATGACTAGATTGACTCGACTTGTGATGCTGATCAAGAATATATATACTTTATGCTTCCTCCTGCCTGTTGCATATATGATCAAAAATTTTATTATACCCTTTTACTCATTTTCAATGGGTTCAATGGATCAAGAATATATACATAGGGAGAGAGAGATATGAGATAGATATATAAAGCGTTACAGTGAGGCATAAAGAGAAAGGAAAAGGCTTAAAGATAATCGGTTTATATACCTTGGCATATCTTAAATTTATGCCGAATATCACAAAAAAACCATTGCAAATAGTTAATAGTAAAAAATAGATGCGAAGTTTATTTTATAATTTGAGTGCGACAAACTATGCAAATATCTCTTCACATTCGCTTGAGGCTCTATACATTTTTCTAGTTTCTCTTCAAGTTTGATTTGCATTCATTTATTTAGAAGGAGCACCCTGTTTATTTGGAGGCTGCTGCCATGCAAATAATTTGCACATTGCTGGAATAAATAAACCAAGCGAATAAAATTCACCAAAGCAAGAAATGCACAGAATCGAGGATACATTTGAGGGTGTAAGCGTATTCTGCGGCAAGCCGAACACTAAATACCCTTGCTGATATTTGGCTTTTGCAGATAAGTATGTTCGAATTGTGAAGCTAGCAAATGCTGAGTTTGAAGAAAATACAAAACTTCAGCTTTCGACCGATTCTTTTTATAAAATACAGTAGTGCGATCCAAATATGATGTGGCTCATATATACGAAGCATAGGTTGGACGTAGATTTTGAACCAACTTTTCGACCGATCTTTCCTATGACAGCTATATGATATAGTTGTCCGATGTTCATAGGATTTGGTATATATATGAGGAGCATAGGTAAAATTATAAATGCCGGGTTTCGGCCAGATATCTTGCTAAACAAACAAGTTTTCCATACAAGAACTTAATTTTGAACCGATCTTTCCTACGACAGCGATACGATATAGTGGTCCGATGTTCATAGGATTTGGTTTATATATGAGGAGCATAGGTAAAATTATAAATGCCGAGTTTGGGCAAGATATCTTGCTAAACAAACAAGTTTTCCATACAAGAACCTAATTTTGAACCGATCTTTCCTATGACAGCTATATGATATAGTTGTCCGATGTTCATAGGATTTGGTATATATATGAGGAGCATAGTTAAAATTTTAAATGCCGGGTTTGGGCCAGATATCTTGCTAAACAAACAAGTTTTCCATACAAGAACCTAATTTTGAACCGATCTTTCCTATGACAGCTATATGTTATAGTTGTCCGATGTTCATAGGATTTGGTATATATATGAGGAGCGTAGTTAAACTTACACGTTACACATTTTATGACAAAATCAAAATACCTTTTAAAAGGGTATGTGTGTGTGCGTGTGTGCGTGTTCGTGTGTGTGTGTTTGGAAGAATTCAACCTGGCAGCAAAGGACCCAATCCACAAATCAGTCCACCGCAGGGCAGGCTCTCCATGTGGAATACCAATGCCTGTGTGTGCGTGTGTGTGTGCGTGTGTATATGTGCGTGTGCGTGTGTGTGTGTGCACGTGCGGCCATTAGGAAATTAGTGATGCTCCAAGCAGCAACAACAATAGGCACTTTTGGGCCACATTTGGAGTTTGGGCGAAATTCAATTGAAAGACTCGAATTTGGGCATAAGCGAACAGCACTTGTGTGTACAGTAGACGCACGCTAAAGGTGACCACAGTGAAAGACAGCCAATGCACAATTCAGGCAGATTGTGAATACAAAGTTTTTATTAATATTATATTAGATATAAGCACACACAAACACAAGCAAAGCAAAAAGTCGCGACTGGTTTACACGTGTCCGTTATCGGATAACAGACTGTACCCAAAATGCAGCCAGTTTTCTTCAAAAGGAAATGAGTGTGGAATTCGTGTATTCAATTGCATAATATTGGAAACATATAATGATGGATATTGCAAGCTTAAAAAACTAAGAATTTTATTTAAGAAAAATCCGAAAGACATTTCTTCTGAAGTTTCGGATTTTAGGTAATTTTTGCCCATTGATCTCAACTTACTTCGGAATGTAGTATATCTAGGTTTTTACTTATTTTATTATATTCGATTTTTCTTCGATTTTTAGTTTTTTCGGTTTGAAACACTTTTGACCCCAAAATTACCTAAAATAGCAGAAAAAAAACAGACATTTCTATTAGGCGGACATTTCTTTTTGGCAAACACTTAATTACTTATATATAAGGCTCTATTAGGCGGACACAACTCTTGAGCGGACAAATACCAACTGACAATCTCTGCGCGTCCCAGAGAGTTCTTACTGTGTTCATATATACAATGCTTTTCATTTATATAAATAAAGAATAAGTATTTTTATTTGTCAACCGACGCGTGCTCGTTCGCGAGCGTTCACTGTACCAGTTAAACACGAAGCGTAAAGCCACGCATAAGCCCCAATTGAAGTAAACCCAAAACAAACATAAATCCCGCTAAGACGCAGTTGGGGGAAATAAATTTTAACAACCCGATATTTGGCACGCCTTTGTCCGAGTCTTCGGAGAGCCAGAAAAAGGCGAACCCATTTCTAGACTTAGCTCTTAAGAATTTATTTGAATTAACAGCCGGCAGCAGTTGACATCTGGTTAAGCGACCAACAAAATTGTTGTTTAAAGAGGGAAAATAAAATAAGAATAATTATTTGGAACTAAATGTACAACAGAAATATCGAAATTTGCTTAGCTTGGAATGATCTCTATCCGGTGATATTGCCCGGCGGCAGATCGCCGGCCACCGCTTGTGTGGATAATTTGGGTAAGGCGGCCTTCAGCAGCGGTGCGGGCGTTGGCTTTGCGGCCAACGCCGCTTCCGGTGGACTGTGAAAGAAGTAGAGCAGAAAACCGGCGGCCAGTATAATATGGGCGCCAAGTATGCCAATGATGAGGAATAGCGAAAACTTCGAATTGCGCAGCGCGGGCGTCAGCACCGCGATTAGCACCGTGCCGGAAAGCAGAGCGGCCGTTATAACGAGCAGCCACTGTAGCAATGAAATCTGCAAATTGAACATATTTAATACAATCTCACATAATTGATATGCCAAATGCCCGGGGCACGCACATTGATCACCCAGAGTACGGAGACGGGTATATAAATGGCCAGGCTATAACCATAGATGCACATGAGCGACAACAGGCTGGGCGTATAGCTGGCCTGCTAGAGCGAGACAGAGAATAACAATGAGAGAGAGGAGAGCAGGCAATAATTGTGAGTTTCTAACTAACGCTGTCCGTTTCGACGGCATCCGCTTCATCCACAGGCTTGAGGCTATACTTGAACAACGCCCAGAGCACGGCCGGCAATATGTTGGCATACAGAAAGATGCAGGTGGCCGCATACGAGACCAGGTGGAAATTGTAGTGCCAATGGTAGCTATCGTTCGCCTGCTGCAAATAGCTGGCAATATTGCCGCTAATCGCTATCGAGAAGATCTGAAAACGAAGCGCATGTGAGTGCATATAAAGGGCGTGACTGTGGCTGTGCTTTACCAGCGTTATGGTTATCCAAAATGGACCATACAGATCCGGATTCTCGCCGATGTTCATGCGCAAATAGTTGGCAGCGGCCCGTTTCGGTACCATTGAGTTCACAATGCGCTCGAGCACCATATACGTGTCCACGTTGAAGAACTGCTGATAGTACTCCATGGTCAGAAACGAGAGACGTGCACCGCCTGCGGCTCCATCCGCTGAGGCGCCCGATGCTCCGGCTGGACCAGCGCCACCGCCGACCATTGTTTGGGCCGAGTTGCTCATATCGTAGATAAGATCGGAGAGCGGATCACCACGTTGACGCTGTGCGTTAAAGTTGCCGCCGCCGCCGCCGCCGCTGCCGCCGCCGCTGCCGCCGCCGCCAGTCGCATGCGTTGGCGAGTTAACATTGATTTGTGCTGGTGTGCCGCTATTAGTTGCGCTATAGTCGCGAAACTGTAGCAAATCATCGGCGGTTGGCGTTTCCATATCTCGCTGATGGCACTACAATATAATTTGTTCACGCTCTTTACAAAAATTACACGTATTTATCGCAGTGCCTATTTGTTTTTCTCGTTCTTTTTTTTTCACACTCATACGTCAGCTGTTTACTTGGCGCGTGCGTGTGACCATATCGTATTTTTATGCAACACTTTTGGTATTCGGATTTGGTATTTTTCCTGCAACACTTGAATACGTGTGGTCAAGACAACACATTTGTATTATGATTAATTTTCCCATCAATTTTTTTTAATGCTATCATTTAACTATGATTAACGCTTAAAAAGCACGCCAAAAAGTCGTTGTGAGTTTTAAAAAATGTATCGATAGAGTTCAATTATAGTCGATAGTGCTGCGCTATGCAGCACTGCTTGCCTTGCGTCGTCAGCCAACACTTTTTGCAGCTGCAGTACAAAACAATATTCGCAGCCAGTAAATTTCCACATAGTTTACTAAATCGAAGGAAAACTAGTGAAAATAAGAAATATAATTTTCCTAAAAGGTGTAGATCGCGCGGCAGACAAGTGAGTGAAGTGCTTGCTTATCAAACGACAAGCCAACCGTGTTAGCGCTATAAACAAATAGCCCCGCTCCCCACCCAAAGTACAACCCAAATGCCAGTTAAAAATGGCGAATCGGATGCGGAGGGCGACGTCTCTGGTGCGGAGTCGGAGCGCTCCAACTCCAGCCAGGCACACGACACCTCCGACGAGGAGGAGGAGGAGGCAAACGAATGCGATTCCGATGATTCCTCCGAAATGGATGCCAGCGAAATTGAGCTGCGCCGCGCCGAACACATAGAGGATCTGGGTAAGCAGCAAAATTGGCGCCAATTCATGACCACATATTACTGACCGATCTGTACAGCCAGCCTCGAGCGGCAATTTAGCCAACTGCGCGAACAATATTATTACGAACGCATCAGCCTCATTGAACAGCAGCTGTCAGATGTGCGTTCCGGCCGATCCGAGGAGTTTGTGCAGCCGCAAAAGGAGCTCGACAAAGTGTATCGGACGCGCATTGAGGTCGCCGATGTGCTGCGCAAGTTCCGCCTGCAGAATATCGAACACAAATATCTGTCCGAGGAGCAGGCAGCATCCCAGCACTTTGAGGTAAGTCTTCAGGCTTTTCTTTTGGGCTGCAACATTTCAAACAACTTTTGCCTTGCCAGAGCGAGAAACAAATGGCAGCTGATAATTTGCGCGAGGATCTTATGGAGCGCATACGACGTCTCGAAGAGGACCGACACAATGTGGACATCTCCTGGGATGATTGGGGCAATGACAAGCGGCAGAGCAAAGTACGTGGACCTGGACGCAAAAAGGCCGTCACCGTCACCGGCCCCTACGTTGTATATATGCTGCGCGAGGAGGATATTATGGAGGACTGGACGATTATACGCAAGGCGCTGAAACGTTCCTCCACGGCGGCCGTGACGGCAACGGCGGGCGGTGCCCCAACAACGCCGGTCGGCGTTAGTGGCCTGGTGGGCGTGCCGCTAACGCCCACAGCCATGGCGGGCGCCAATGGATAACGGTGGCGTGCCGCTGCCTATGCCCATGCCCGTGCCCGTGCTCGAGCACGTGCACGCAACAAGGAGCTTACCTGATGGCAGCGTAAGGTAGCGAATGCTCTCATACCCAGACCCAAACCGCGTTACTCCTGTTACTCGATGCCCCCATTATGATGATGATGATGATGTTGATGTTGATGTTGATTATGATTGTAATAATCACACGCTCGATTATTGTTTCGAGCCATTATGCTTCTACACTCTTATTGTCTAGTATATAAACAACAACAACAGAATGTCAATCCCCCAGAGAAGCCCCAAGCAAATACAATCCCATACAACTAATCTTAAGTCAAAATTGTAGTATAAATTTACACAAACATATATGCATATATGTATGTCTGCATGCATGCATATGTATTTCTATACGCGCATAACTTTGTATATATAGCTGTATAGAGCGCTAATATCCTATCCCCCGCCCATCCCTGCAGCGTCTCTATCCATACTGTGTAATAAAGTCACGCATTCAGTTCCCGCAGCATATAATCTATTATATGCAATAATGATATATATATTTAGACATATATATAGATATATACATATACATATACATATAAGTGTAGCGTATAAAGCCACAGATCTGTACACTAAATAAAGCCAATTTTTTTCTCATTACTATAAAGCGAAGCGAACTCTTGTTTCTTGATCAGTTCAAACTGAAAATATAAATGTTATATAAATTTTAAGTAAGTATTTTAGATATATACATATATACATCTATATATATATATATATACTATATATATTATATGTGCATTGTATGGAGGTTTTCCCACTCGTTTTTAAAATTGTTTTCAAATAAGAATTTAAGTTCCAAGGCTAAATGAAGATTCCAATTTGTGGAAGCTCTCATTTCCGAATAAACACAGTAAATAGAGCTCTTTGTTTAGTTTTCGTCGGGTTTGCTTTGGATTCGTTTAGATCCATTTACAATTAATATTTATTTATATATATATATATATACAGCTCTATGTCTGGTCTGTTTGATCATACTCGTATTTATAATAATCAAATTATTAAACAATAGCCCAAACCGTAAAATTTGCATTATTTACTGTTAGTTTCCGCTAAAAGTTTCACCCTCAAGGGTGGAAAATTGGTGAAAACGATTGCATGCAATTTGTCTGTTTAGCATTCATTATTTACTGGAGACGTCCTGAACTAGAAAATCCATGTCCCCCCATCCCAACCCGTCATCTTTGATTTCTTGGGATCCTTGGTTTTGTGGATCAAAATTTGAATAATATATCAAAGGATCTGGCTTAAGGGAAAGGTAAACGGGGTTCCAACTTAAGATCAACAGAAAAGTTTAAGAATACATGAACTATTCCCGACATTGGATCAAAGAAAAGGGAATCAAAGACAAACTCTTCCAGAAAAAGATCGAGTCAGTATATTGTGTCAATTCCATATAAAGATCGAAGAAGTTTGTCATATATAAATATATAGTAAACAGAGAGATGAAAAGTGGCTAGACTTCTGCTGGAATGGCTATCTTTAACAAACTTCTAAGATGGCTAATTGAAAGCTCCACGACAAATGGATATAATCTGAATATATATACATACCATATCCGGCATACCGAGTCCAGAGTGCCGACTTTATATGAATTATGTTTATTGACAGTAATTTGCAAGCAATCAAATGGTTTAAACTAAAATCCCAACGTCTTGAGATGCTCCCGCAGCAGGTCCACATAGTCGCCGTGGATGTGTATCTGGCCGCTCAGCTCGTTGACGCGCGTGGCGCACAGTTTCCCATTGCGGGCGCGCTCCACAATGGTGCGCAGTTCGCGCTCCAGGGCCCAGATGTCGCCCTGGACGCGCCGCACCACGGTGAGGCGACGCTGGCCGCGGAAGCGTGTATGCAGATAGACGGGCACCATGTGGTTCTTGGTGCGGGCAACGAAATAGCCGCTGGCCTGGCCGTCGGACTTTGGGGGCTGCCAGCCGGAGGGGTAGGCCGGCTTGGCAATTGGCTGTGGCACTGTGGTTGGGGGCAGCAGGCGCTCCACAAACTTCCATTCGGGCGGATTGTGCAGGACCTCAACCTCTGGATACTGTTCGAGCGGCTGCAACTCGCGGGACGAGCGGAAACTGGACAAACTGGCGGGTTGTGTGTGCAGCGAGCGCACCAGCTGCAAATGGGATTTGTGGTAAGGCGGTGATTGCTTGTTGCCTGAGAGTCGCACTCACCTGTGTCAGTCTGTGCTGCAGCAGGCCGTTGAGCATTACTTTTGCGCTGGCTGCCATAGTTTTCAGTTAAATTGATTTCCAGCAAAAAAAACACAAAATTCTGTTACATATGCGCCGAGTGAGCCACAGTGTGATGAACTAGTTCGCGGCGGCACACTAGCCGAACGGTTGAAGCGTTGCCACCGCGCGTTTTCAGTGCTGTAAAGAGCGCCATTTCGATATTGGCGCCTTTTTGTGCATACCTACATGTGTGCTTGTGTGTGCTTTCAAAAACTTGCATTTCGCGCGCCTGCACGTGTGTGTGTGTGTGTGTGAGTGTGTGTCTGTGTGCGCTTGTATGCAACAAATGCCGCCAGCGACGTCATCGTTAGAGCCAAAGCTTTTAGCACACACTCACACAAATGCACATATGTATGCAAACACAAGCTTATTTTAATCATTGCCGCTGCAGCTGCTTAGTTTGCTGCTGTTGCCGTTTTTCCCATATATTTTTTTTGCTGCATTTGATGTTGATTCTAGCAGCAGCCGCCGCCGCTGCCGCCAACCGTTTGGCATTGTTTACGTTGCAGCTTTTATTTGTCAGCTTTTTACGCTCAGTTTCGGTTTCAGTTTTCTCGGCGCTTTCGTTGCGACAAGTTGTTGCTGTTGCCCATTTACAAAACAAAAAACAAAAAAATTAAAATACTAATAAAAAACAAACCCACCACAAGCAAAACTATTAATTTTTTTATTTAATTTTATTATACCGTTTGTTGCATTTGCCCGCTGCAATTTGCGCCGCTGCAGCTGCCGTTGCGCGAGTGAGGGCGAAAGAGCAAAAGACAGAGAGAGCGCGCGCAATATCAGAAATTGTTTTTGTTGTTGTTGTTTCTGTTTTTTTTGTTTTTTGCGATAGCAAAAAATAGGCGTGTAATGTGTGTTTCGCTAGCTCCTGCTGCAATTGTAACGGTGCCGCGGCAGTGTGTCAGTGTTGTAAAGCGTTAGCATGGCACGCAAGGATGATCCCGTATTCAATGTGAAATTCGTGCAGCTGGTGGAAAATCAGGCATGCCTATGGAACTATACACATCCGGGCTATAGCAAAAAGGAGGAGGTGCAGAAGGCCTGGCAACATGTGGCCAATGAAATAAAGGATACAGGTGCAAAATACACACATGCATTAAAATCTGCATATGTGTGTGCGTGTCTGTGTGCAAATATGTACGTGCTGCAGGCTGAAAAACTTTTCATTTCGCCTGCTGCTGCTGCACTTGTAGATTTCCATTTCCATTTTCGTTTATTTTTTTTTTTTATTTGCAATTGCGTGCTCATTTGTGGTGCAAATGTGTGCGTGTGTGTGTGTGTGTGTGTACTGGCGCGCGCCTATGATGCAAGCTTTTCGCTGCTGCTGCTGCTGCTGTATGCATGTGTGTGTGTGTGTGTGTGTGCGTGTGATTTCAATGCAATCGCAATTTGTAGTCGTGCCAACTCGCTTGCACTCGACGCTTAAATGCTTAACATGCGTGTGTGTGTGTGTGTGTGTGTGTGTGTGTAGGTGTGTCACTGTGTCACACACAGCAATAGCTGCGCGCGGCGTTTGCATGCAATTAGTCGCTGTTGCTGCGGCTGTTTTTGTTGTTGTTGTTGTTGTTGTTGCTGCTGCCTGCCTGCTTTTGGCATGTTATTAAAAAAAAAAGTTCAGCAACTGCAGCGCAGTGAAAATACCCTGCATGTAATCAGCTGCAGGCTTAACCAACACTTGTTGCCGCACACCTCTGGCCTACTGTGTTTTACAGCACTGCACATGTAATATCCCCTGGATTAAAGCTTTCCAATGCTTATATTTTTAATGGGAATTACAGTCTCTCAGCAAATGCCAGGCAATCCATGTCTCAATTATGTTCCATATTTCACAAAAAAAGCTGTCTGTAGCCCAAGATGGCTTTTAAGGTTATGTTCATTAAGAACTCGACTATTTTAAGGTTATGTTTTGGCGTACGTTGAAGGGCGAATTATTTTGTTTAAGTTTTCGTGTTTTATGCTTTTTGACAATCTATTTAATGGTTAAACCGAATATTACTTAGAAATGTTGTAAGTTTTAGGGAGAATTTAACAAAAATATGAATATTATACGTTTGCGAAACTCTCCATTGATTTAAGAGAGCTTTTATCGTTAGTAATATTATAGACCAGAATATAAAATGACTGAATTATTAGGGATTGAATAGGCAAGAGATTGGCTAAGGGATATTGCATAGCAGACATGCACTAGAGTCTAGGGTATTATGTACTTTGATTTATTGTAAATATGCGGGAGTTTTTAGTATGGCTTCAACTATTTGCCATAGATTCATGATGTTCGAAATAAACGAAGAATTTGGGAGTTAAGTAAAGAGCCTGAAGAAATGGAAACTAGCCAGGATGATTTACGTGCTCAGAAGAAAGAAAACTCCTGTTGAGTAGTTTTTATCCAGCTGTAGCCTTTGCCTTACTAAGTATATAGGGTATTCCGGAGTCGTCAGGTTCCTCAAGTTCCTGCTGCTTATTTGCTGAATTTCTTCAGCAGCATTAGTTAACTCATGACTGCATCGAGTGCCAAATTAAAATACATCCATTTACATCCATTGCAGTGCGTAACTCGCGGGAACGTTGGCGCACCATACGCAGCAGCTTCTTGCGATCCCTGAAGGCGGCGCGCACCCAGACGGGTCGGGGTAAACGCAAATACTATTTGTCCAAGTATCTGCAGTTTCTGATACCCTACACAAAGTCGCGCGCCTGTCACAAACAGTTGCCCGCCCAAACGAACGCCACGCCCAATCCCAATACGAGCCCCAATCCCGGGGGCATGGTCCTGCGCAAGCCGAGCACCTCAACGACGGCGGCAACATTTCTGGCTGCCGCTGCGCTCAGCACGCAGCCAATGACGCGCATTGGACACATGCGGCTGCTGGAGCATCATCATCATCATCATCATCATCATCAGCAGCAGCAACAACAGCATCATCATCAGCAGCAGCAGCATCAGCAGCAGCAGCATCAGGAGAGCCAGGTTAACGAGGGCGACGACAACACCAAAGACAGCAATGGCAGCCGGCCGGCCGATGTGCAGGTCTCCGAGCAGGAGGAGGTGGAGGAGGAGGAGGAGGAGGATAACCCGGAGCAGGAGCACGAGCACGAGCACGAGCACACGGAGACAGACGCCAGCCTAGCGCAGACACCGCTGCGCCTCCAGGCCATCAAAGTGGAGCAGCAGCAGCAGCAGCAGCAGCAGCAGCAAAGTGCTGACAAAATTGTTGCTGCAGCTGCGCAGCATTCGCTGGTCACGCTGCCAGTTACAATGGCTGCGGCGCTGCGCAACAACATGGACTGGACGGTGGCCGAGTGGCTCAAAGGCAGCAACTGCAACCAGTTGCAGTTTCAGCATCTGCACAACAACAACAACAACAACAGCAGCAACAACAACAACAACAACAACAACCATCTGCTTCAGCATCAGCATAGCAACATGTTGACGCATCTTGGACACGCGGCAACAACGCCGCCAGCTGCAAGCACACCTGCACCCGCACCAGCAGCGGCGGCGGCGGCGGCAACGGCAGCGGCAGCACCTGCAGCCGTTACGCAGCCGGATGCGGATTATTCGTTTCTGATCAGCCTGCATCCGTATCTGAAGGAGATGAGCGGCAAGCAGAATCGTCGCTTTCGTCAGAAAGTTGTCGGACTCATTGACAATGTCCTGGACAATGTGGATGTTTAGACGCAGGCAACGCAACACAACAAACAACAAACAAAAACAACAAACAAAAACAACCGACAGTGCCCATTTGTTAGATATAGCAACTAAATGTACTTGTATTGTTTAGGCGTTCAACGCAATTATTGCATTGTTTTTGTTAAAGTTAAACACACAATCTCACACACACACACACACACACACACACATTTGTTATATGTAAAAAATAGAAGAAAAAAATAAACAACAAGAAATATGTATGTATGTTATGCAATGCGAATAAAACGCTTTTGAAAACAAATTCAAATGAATCGAACGCATTTTACAGCACTGCCAGCAATTGAGCGTTGCCAGACATCAATTTGACCAGTTCGCGCACCAGTTGCCCGCGTCAGCTGTGTTTTAAAGCATAGGGGCAGCGCTGTGCGCCAATTATTACTAGAGATTAAGCCCAAAAAAAAGCAGCAATGTTAACGTTTTTTGAATATTAATAACGTGCTGGTCTAATTGCAGCCAGACACATAACCCACTTTAGTAAAAGTAGGTAGCGCCGCTGCCTATGTGTGCGTGCGTGTGTGTGTGAAGTGTGCATGTGATGTAATTCGGTGAGCAGATAACGCGAATCTACAAAGCTATTGTTAATGTTGATAATTATTATATAAAAGCAACACTGTGCACACACTCACACACACACACACACACACACAGTCACAGTCACATTTTGGAGAAAGTTGTCGTAGTAGTTAATCAATTGTTATATTCGCGCGCACGTTCTACTTACGTAGGTGGCGTCCAGCAGGAGAGTCGCACGGTCGGTCGCCAGCGTGAAGGAGGATTTAAATAGATAATCAAAATGAATAAATGCTGCATACAGACACAACAGGCCACGATCAAAAAGTCGTCCAATATTGTTGACATATACAGCAGCGGCAACAGCACCACCAATTGCAACGGCAGCAGCAACGGGAGCAGCAGGAGCATGTCCAACGATGATGACTATCCCGTGTCCATCACAGATGCGACACGAGCCCAGATTGAGAGGCGCGTCCGTACTGCCTATGACTTTTTTGACCAGACCCTGCGGCTCTACGATGTCACACAGTTGATATTCTGCTTTAATGGCGGCAAGGATTGCACCGTGCTGCTGGATCTGCTGATGCGCTATTGCCGGGAGCATGGCATCGCCAGCCGTGAAATACCGATGCTCTATATTGAGTCGGATGATTCGTTTGCCGAAATTGATGATTTTGTTGTGCACTGTGTGCGGCGCTACGATGTTAATCTAATTAAATATAAGGACTCGCTGAAGGTGGCGCTCACCCACATGACGGAGGATATGCCGCGCATAAAGGCCGTCTTTGTCGGTAGTCGCAATACGGATCCCTACTGTCAGCATCTTCAGCCCATGCAGGTTTGTCTCGCTCTCCTTCTCTTTCTCTCTCTCTCTCTCTCGCTCTGTTTTGTACAGACTGTAATTTTTGATGATTTGCAGAAAACGGACAGCGACTGGCCGGATATAATGCGTTTGAATCCTTTGCTGGAGTGGAGCTATCATGATATCTGGCATTATATTCACATGCATAAGGTGCCCTATTGTCAACTATATGCGCAGGGCTACACATCCATTGGCTACAGGTCCAACACCTTGCCTAATCCGCATTTGCAGCACAACAGCTGCTCCGCGGCGAATCCTGCTGCTGCCGTTGCCTGCTTCAAGCCCGCCTGGGAGTTAGCCGATCCCACAACGGAGCGTGCCGGTCGCCTTAATCGCAAATAGCCGACACTTTTCCGCCTCTTAAAACTAGTTGAATCCGCTAATAGTGCAATTGTATTGTAAATATCTTCATCTATTTTTTTTATCTCAAAGAAATTTGTACATATGTTTCTATACAATCAGGTCGTTATGTACTTAACATACAAGTGTGTATTTAAGCACACAATATAGTACTTATCTATATACATATATATATACATATATACATATATAAATATGTATATCCATGCAATTATCTGCACTTATGCATATTGTCTAGCTTTGCATTGGCATTCATTTCACGGCACACCCATTTTCGAGTTAACTGCACGATTTTGCAGCTGTTGGCAATTTTCTGCTAAAATTTTGAAACCGCAAACATATTAAACGGCTTAACTCGTGTGTCAAATTTGCCAATGTACAGTGAAGCCTGCACAAGTTGAACACACCACATACGCAGCTAGCTGTCGTAACATTCGGGTAACAGTTTTCAATCATGTAAACTTTAATGTTAGCTGTAATTAAAACTTACCTTCGGCGCAACAGTATCTAATGTCCAAGTTAACATAAACAGAACGACAATTATAACATGCATGACAAATGTTTACAAGTAGCTTTATGCCGAGTGCCCTTAGCGTTTGAATAGCCCATTTAAATGAAATACAAATTAAATTCGGTGGGCAGTTAACATTTTTATATATATACATAATTATCAATCATAGTGCAACGAATATTGCTTGAAAACAGCTTTAAAACGGATTTAAGTGCTAGACATATAAGATAGTTGACACAGTTTGTGATTTGTAATGGCATTATAATAAAATTTACATAAAAAACGAAATTTTCGATCCAGTCTGTTTCAATAGAGACATGCCTTAAAGAATTTGAATTGTCTCTGTTATTTAATTCTTAAGTATAAATATTAAAAAAAGTAGTTAAGAGTCTTGTGCCATCAATTGAGGTGCAAGGACTCGAAGCGCAGATAGTCGGATTGCTGTGCCGCCTGCTGCTTCTTGTCGGCAATGCGGGAGCCGAACTGTATGGCCCGCTTCTTGAGCAGCACCGCCTCGCGCAGCCCAAGACTGTAGCCGTACAGGCGCAGCAGCAGCTTGTCGCCAACACCCTCGGGCAGAGCGTAGCAGCAGCGCTGCTGCGGCGCCAGGGAGCGCACAAATCTGGCCAGATGCTCCTCGATGAAGGGGGCGCGCGCCGTCTTGCCGCTGTCCGCAATGATGCGATCATCGCGCGCCAGATTGCGCGCTGGTATGCGCTGCCAGTCCATGTCCAGCTCATGGCGCACGGCCAGCTGACGAGCGTGCCCGTCGCTGCCGGCACGCCGCCAGGCGTTGCGATGCCGCGTATAGCCGCCAAAGAGCTCATCGGCGCCGCTGCCCAGCAGCGCGACGCGTGCCGTTGATTGGGGCGCGGCGGCGGCAAACCAGAAGGCACAGCCCAGGCACTCGTCCAGCACCGTTTGCAGCGGATAGATCAGCTGGCGTATGTGGGTGCTCAGCTGTTGCTGCAGCTTCCGGCGGCTGACATTCACCTGCAGCAGCTGCCAGTTGCGCTGCGGGCACAGACGCTGCAGTTCCGCCAACGATTGTAGTGCGGTCTGGCGATCCGGCACATCCCATTTGCTCGCTTGCTGCCGATCCGGCCCAGCTGCTGTTGCTGTCGGCCGCTCAAAGGCCACATTGATGAGCTCGATGGGCTCCGTTTGCGGCACATATTTGTCCGCGAGCAGCGCCAGAATGCTGCAGTCTATGCCGCCCGAGAACAGTATGGAGATTTTGGCATGCGCACAGCCGCCAGATGTGGCACATTTGCGACAAATGGGCGCCGTATGCAGCACACGTGCCGCCACCGAATGCTGCAGCAGTTCATCCAATTTGCGTAATGCCTGCTGCACTGGCGCATAGTCCAGCAAACGCTTGTAGAGCGGCTCCAGCTCCACTGTGTCAGCGGCTAGCTCGTATAGATCGTAGCTGGGCACCGCCTGCGTCGTGTCGAGCAGCCAAGTCGGCGCTATTGCCCGCTCCAGCATTGTGCTCCAGTGCATGGCAGCGCCCAGCGTCGCCAGCTGCTGCTCTGTGTCCTTGTTAAGCGGCTGCCAGGGATATAATGTGCACTTGTCGAGCTTCGCCACGTGCAGCTTGTAGAGGCCCAGTGGCGGCAGCTCCATTGACGCAGCCGGCGCCTGCTGCTCCAGGTGGCACGAGGTGCTCATCAGCTTGAGGCAATGCGTGTGTCGCTCAATGATCAGCGAATTTCTGCCCAGTGCGTCGCGGCAAAAGTATAGAACTTGGTCACGTCTGTGGGAATCGGTTATTTCAATTATGATTTAAACTGGTTTCTAGGATATTTGTATACCTGTTGTACAGGATCAGGCAGTAGGGTCCTTCGAGCTGCTGCAGCAGCGCCAACAGCTGCGCATCGTCGCTGCTCTTGCATTTGATTAGCTGCTGCAGCAGCCAGGCGCTGTCTGCCTCAGTTGCAGGCTTCTTTTCATTTAAATTGTATAAATCCCCATTGAAGAGCAGCACCAGATCCTCTTTGACCAGGGGCTGCTTTTGTGGCGCCGCTCCTTGTTGCCACAGAACGTTGCCCGCCAGCAGCACATTGTCAACTATGAGCTTGTCCTTTACGTCGGGTCCACGATTGTGCAGCAGCGTCTCCAGGGCGCTGTGCAAATGACAACTGGCATCGTCGTTATTACGGCTTATTCCACAAAAAATGCCGCACATTACAATTTAAAATGCGAAATGTTCGAATTGTAAACATTGGCATGTGCGTGTGCTTCCGAACGAACCAGTTCAATTGAGCGACTGTTATTGCCAGCGCCATTTTCAGTAATTTTCGTTTTGCGCCATTTTGTGTTTGAAGCCGCAAATGCATTTCGCCATTTTGCTTGTTCTTTTGAAACGACGACTTCTGAAGTTTGCTTTAAATTAAATCTTATGGGTTATAAAGTGATTTTGCTTTTAATTTTTTAAAATTGTTAAGCTGAAGTCTATGTGCTGCAGTGAAAGTACATATGTATGTATATTAATTAGCTGTTAAGGACGCCTTTGCCTAACATACCTGGTGCATAACATACAGAAACACATACATACATAAAGAACTAATATTTTCTCAGATTTAAATTAAATTGAAACAAACGCTTGGCATTGCATTGTAGTTGACAATTATAATAAATGTGAATTTAATATATGTATGTATATATTTAAGACGAAAATGAAATGCGTCGACTTAATTCACTTAACATAGGCCTAGCTGCACATAACTCTGTTAGCGTTAACATACTGTTAAGTTTTTTTGAGTTCTGTTTGCCAACACTGCCGCTGAGCCATATGCAAGTGAACCGAAATAAACTTGTTTGGCCAACAGCTGTTTTAAATTTCGCAACAGTAGTGCAAGTTTATTTATTTTTGTTTACGTAACTGAACATTTATATTTTTTAGTCAGCATCGAAAAAACCAAATTGTATGTGCCAACGAGGCGACACAGACGCACACGCACACGCTTACATACACACACACACACACAGCCAGACGCACGGACCGATGCAGTAGCGTCCCAAAACTTGTAGCTGCCTGTGCCTCTATTTGCCGGCAACAGCCAAAGAACAACAATAACAACAACAACTGTGACAACTGAGACAACTGAGCGCAACACCCACTCATCGTGAACTGGTCAAACGTGTGGTGATGGCACGCACAGCACAAGACGTGCTCGGCGTGCTGCGCGGCCTGCAAATCGTTGCGGAGGCGTGCGGTCGCGAGCATCTGGCGCTGACTAAGCATCTGTGGAGCAATTCGAGTGTGCGCGAACTGCTTGAGGCCAATGTGAATCAGACGGTGGACGCGCTGCGTACGGCCAGCGAACAGCCCAGCGAGGAATTGAAAAAGGCGCAAGCCCTGCTCCAGGAGACCGGCGAACGCGGCTACGTGGTGGCCCAGGGCTTGTCCCACTTGCTGCAAACCAATTTTCCCTGTGATCTGAACGCCCTGCAGCCAATCAACTGGCAGCCCAGCTCGAGCACATCAGCTGTTGCGGACAGCGCTGCTGGTCACGTGTCGCGCTCAAGTCGCAGCCATTCGGATGTTGCCGATGCCGCCAATCTGGATATATCGTCTATAACGCTGCTGGAATTCGAGGAAATTCTCTCCAAGCGCAACATGAATCGCAACGTCAGCCTGCGCACGCCCACCACGCCCAGCAAACAGCTGCCCAGCGATCCGAAGGCGTCACCGCCAACGATTAAGGCGACGCCGCCCGTGCCCAGCGGCAATGAGGGCATCCTGAGCAAGGACACCGAATATGTGGACAATCTGATGCGCTTTGTCGCCGGCACCTCGACCATGGCATCATCCAAGGCGGCAAAAACTGGTATGCATGAAAAGCTCACATCCACATATACGGCTCTGTTCCGTGTTTCTTTCTTTGTGTTTCAATTTCGCATTCCCAGTGTGAATTCGATTTAAAACTAGATTTATTTGAAATATTATAGCTCAATCTGGATATATATAATCTAGCATAGCAGCCCGAAACAGATAACGGTCAGTTCTCTATTGCGAACGTGTTCCATTACGTAGCCAGCTTATCATTTTCAAAGAATTTCGTTTCCAGCTGTTCCTCTACAAATTCTTTAATGCATATGCAATTCAAAAGGTTTTTTCAATTCCAAACGTGTTCCTATTCCAGTCGTTCGCTTACAATATCCAAGAGGAAAAAAGTGTTCCGTTACCAGTCCTTCTTTTACAATACGAAATCAATGAAAAAGTGTTCTATATGTGTTCCATTTCCAGTAGTTCCCTTAAGGTCTTAATGAAAACGGCATCTGTCAATGAATATTCAATTTCGATTGGTGTTCCGTTTCCAGTCGTTCTCTTAAGGTCTCTCCATAGAAACGGCATAATATGCTAAAATAGTTAGTGCACATTCAATTCAAAGGTGTTGTTTCAATTTGAGTTCCATTTCTAGTCGTTCCCTTAAGGACTCTATGAACACATAATATCCTAAAACTGTTATTGCAAATGCAATTATTTCAATTGGTGTTCCGTTTCCAGTCGTTCCCTAAATGAAAACATCATACTAGTCTAAAATTGTTAATGCACATTCAATTCAAGAGTTTTTAATCTCAATTAGTGTTCCGTTTCCAGTCGTTCCCTAGCAATATCCACCAGCTTTCAGCTATCTCAATTGAAATCAAGAACAAAGCACTCATAATGAAATTGATCCTAAATAAACTGCCTCTAATCCCAACTCATGCCTTACATCTGACATGTTCCACATTTCTAGCTGCTCCGAAAGCCCCCGAATCGACGCTGCCGGAGCTGAGCAAAGTGGCCAAACAGCGGCGAGTGCCGGCATCGCGTCTGGGCCGCATGGCCACATTTGGCGGCCTTTTCGCTGGCCTCGGCGTGGGCACCATCAATGAGCTGACGAAGGGCGCGCTGGGGCTGGGCGGCTCGACGAATATGCGCGACGCACTGTTGAGCCCGGCGAATGCGGAACGCATTGTGGATACGCTGTGCAAGGTGCGCGGCGCCGCGCTGAAGATTGGCCAGATACTGAGCATACAGGACACAAATGTGGTCTCGCCGCAGCTGGCGAAGGCCTTCGAGCGGGTGCGCCAGGCGGCCGACTATATGCCCGACTGGCAGGTGGAGCGCGTGATGAACACACAGCTGGGTCCCGATTGGCGCAAGCGTTTGCGCAGCTTCGATGACAAACCATTTGCGGCGGCATCCATCGGCCAGGTGCATCGGGCCACGCTGCTGGATGGCATGGAGGTGGCCATTAAGATACAATATCCGGGCGTTGCCCAGAGCATCGAGAGCGATATTGATAATCTGGTCGGCATGCTCAAGGTGTGGGATGTCTTCCCCCAGGGCTTCTTCATCGACAATGTGGTGCGCGTCGCCAAGCGCGAGCTGCAGTGGGAGGTGGACTATGCACGCGAGGCCGACTATACCGAAAAGTTTCGCCAAATGATTTCACCCTACAAAGAATACTATGTGCCCAAGGTGGTCCGTGAACTGACCACCTCCAGTGTCCTCACCACGGAACTGGTACCAGGTGTGCCCCTGGACAAGTGCTTTGAGCTCAGGTGAGTGCAAGATAACAAAGCTAACAGCTTGTATGGGCATTGGTTAGACAAGGACAGCGCTATTCAGTGATTCATTTCACTGGTTCACTGGATAGATCTATTAGACAATGACATTGGTTAGACAAAGATAACCACCTTTCGTTGGCCTGGCAACGGCCTAGTGTCATCAGAGCATAATTATACCCCGAATGACACTTGTTAGGCTTACACTAAGCTGATTAGAGTCCTGGCCATTTTCTATGCTAGCTCCTTATTCAGTTTAAGCTCTCCATCTTGCTGATCCACTTTTTAGTTGAAATCAACATAATCATTTGGACAGCAGACATACTTCTTAGATTTTCAGCTAATACTGCCGTTTAGCTATAGATCCAGTTTATGTTTAGATTCCAGACATTTACATTAATACCCGAAAAGGGGGCGACTTCACGCCACGACACGTGTCATCATAGCATAATTAATCGCCGAATGACAGTTGCAAGGATTGTTTTTATTTTCAACATAACCTATATTTAATACCCCCTCCAGCTATGAACATCGCTCACACATCGCCGCCTCTGTGCTGAAGCTGTGCCTGCGCGAGCTCTTCGAGATCGAGTGCATGCAAACGGATCCGAATTGGTCGAACTTCCTGTACGATGTGAACAGTCGGCGTCTGATGCTGATTGACTTTGGGTCGACGCGCTTCTATAAGCACGAGTTCATACGAAACTATCGCCAGGTTATCATCAGTGCGGCGCAGAATAATCGGGATGGGGTGCTGCAGATGTCGCGTGAAATGGGCTTCCTGACGGGCTATGAGACGAGGCAGATGGAGCAGGCGCATGTCGATGCCGTTATGATACTCGGCGAGATCTTTCGCTATGATGGAGATTTTGATTTTGGCAAACAGAATACGACCGAGCGTCTGGCCGCCCTGGTGCCCACAATGGTGGCGCATCGTCTCTGTCCGCCGCCCGAGGAGATCTACTCCATCCATCGCAAGTTGTCGGGCATCTTTTTGCTGTGCGCCCGTCTCAATGTGCGCATGAACTGTGTGCCCTTCTACAAGGACATCGTTTTGGGCAAGTTCAAGGACTAATTAGCTAGCAGCTTGTTAATATTTTCGTGTTTCTGTTGTGCCTATTGACAAAACAAAGTGCTCTTAATTTCTATGTTCGCCACTAAAAAAGTTGACTAAAATGTTAATGTTAGTAAACAATTTGCTTAAGAGTAGAAAGGGTGCGGAATAAATAATGTTTCATCAGTTTTAATTTATTTAAAACTTGTTTCAATATTCAAAATGCGTTTAACAGTTGTAAATGGTTCTTTGAATCCGTTAACCCACTAAAGCACATTTTATTTTTGAGTGTTTTTCATAACTGAATTTAACTCGAAAGGTTCTGTTAAAAAATGTTTTCTGTCACATTCATCCTTTTTTACATTCGAAAAGACTATTATTTTTATTAAATTTATATCACTTTAATTGCCACACTCTGCATTGAAAGTTTGAATATCGAAAACATTGTTAACTTGTCCTGCAAAATATTATTTTATTCTTTTTTTTATTTGTCTGGTAGCTCAAATCTTGCAATTCATCAATACGCCGTTTATTAAGCATTAAGCAATATTAATAATAAATATTAAGCAAACATTTCAGCCTAACAGCTTTAATTAACAGAACTGCTTAAGAACTGTAAATAGTTTCTTGAGCTGACAAAATAGTACAAAATGAGCGAATTATTGAAAATAAATGATAAACTTACAAACTATGAAAAAGCGGCCCACTTTTACTTATTGATAGCTGTGAGAAGTGGAAGAAGCCCAGTGGCAAGTCTTACAGAATAAATCCAGTTTTATAATATGTTAAGCTTAGATTAACAGAGATTTGAAATGAACTACAGATTACAGAGTTATAACATGCTCAAAGCAACTCTGTGTTCTGGGTGCGAGAAATTTAAACAAGCGCGCCTTGCCATTGTAATCGACTGTGTTTGCTGTCTGACTAATTTTTCCAGTTCGGGGCAGTAGTAAGCCATCACGATTCAATAACAACACACCCACACAATGAAGGTGCATCCCTGGAACTCCAATGCGGCCACCAGCAGCGGCAATGGCAGGGCCACCAGCGCCAGCAACAGCGAAAGCCTATTGGAGCCCACCGAACCGGAGGTGAAACAGATTGCCGCCGAGTTGGAGCTGATGAACGGCTATTTGGATAATTTAGAGCTGCAGCTGAAGACGGGCGTGCCCGCGTGTCCACCACGTTTGCCCGTCGATTGCACAATGCCAGGACTGAAGGATTCCAGCAATGCGATCGTTAGGCAGCTGCAGCGCAACGTGTACAAGCTGGAGTATCAAATTGCCGAACTATTTGATTGCTCGAACATGGCCAAGGATATGTTGACCGTGTTGGGGTGCTCCTTCTGCAAACTGCAGCGAGACCTGCGCGATGCACGCCAACAGTACGATGCCATCGAATCGATTAAGCTGCAATCGGATCATGAGGCATCCCTCTGCCTGGAGCGCTACAAGTATTTGCGCCATGTGTGCGTCAATTGGAATGAGAGCAAGGAGAACGCTAAGAAAATGAAGTCCATTTACTTCAATTATGTGGAGTCGTTGCACACAAAGGCGGCGTACCATACGGAGAAGCGCAATAGGTTCAAGGAGTTGGAGGATGCCGAAAATGTTTGTGTGCTCGCCACCAAGCAGCTGATCCGACAGGCCAAGGATGCGGAGGATGATCTGGACGCGCTGCCTGATGTGCACCTGCTGAGCCAGGTGACGTGTATTAATCCTGGCCGGCATCATGTTGCGGAACTGAAGCCGAATAGTGTATGCCTTAAAAGCAACATTTTACCAACTATTCCGCCTTTGGCTTCTTTCTCGAGCACCTGGCATGATCGCATGATACACATGATCCATAATAAGTTTATATTTGACGATGCACCCAAGCACAAGTCCCATTAGGTTAGATTGGATACATTTATAAATAGAATATTTTGCAAGCCTTAAAGAAAATATGTATAATAATATGCTCGCTAGTAGTTGAAAAATGCAAAATACGAGCAGTAATAAAAAAAATAATTTGCTTGAACACAATTATTTCAAAGTTAACGGCTAAAAGCAACATTTAATGTAAAATGTGAGCAACAGCAAAGCACACTGTTATTACGCTGCTGATAACATAAGCGCAACAGGCACTATATTTTCAAATCTTGTGCGCGAACATAAATGTAGCCAGTTCATAAATAACTGCAAACGCATCTATTTATTTAACAAAACCAATTTAGCAAATATCGCACCACCATTAACGCTTGTTCTGCATGGCAGTTAGCGGTATGCTTTGATAAGGCATTCAAAGTTAAAGAGTGTCATTCCAGCATAAAAACGCAATGTTATGGCTAACAGCGCCAGTTAACCGCTCACTTTGAGCAAAACAGTGCCAGTTTGAGTATTTTGCGTTATTCTGATTTTTATTTGAATTGGTTTTCTACAATTGTTTCAGCTTTACGGTTTGATTACAATCGGTTCAGTTTCATTTAATTGGTAAAAATATGCAACTGTTGGCCGCCCGACGCGCGTGGAATCGTGCTATGCAATTGGCAAAGATGCCCAACTGTGTGGAGCGTTCGTAAATAATAAAGTGTCGCTACTCTCTTTTAAATATCATTTTCAGTGCGTTTTTGCATTTCGTGCGTGTCAGATCGTTCGTCGTGCACTTCGTGCGTTTGTGTGATCGTCGCTGTCGTCGTTAACCGACAGCAACAACAACTATAATAATAATAATATTAACAACAAAAGCAACAAGAGGCAACGCTTCATGCACATGCGTGTGTGTGTACGTGTATTTTTATAAAATTTAAATTCTTGGCTCTTTATTTATTTATTATTATTATTTTTTGTTTTGTTTAATTCAATATTTGTTGCCGCCTGTCACGTTGTTTGTTTATATGCCTGTGTACTGTTGTTGTTGTTGTTGTTGCTGCTGCTACGACTTAAAACCGCGCGCGCGCAACTTAAAGCCGCCGCCTGCATTTGTTCTAATGTGTCTACTGTTCTAGCATATGCACAATTATAATATTTATTCATTTTCCCGGTCTTTTTTTATATATATTTTTTTTAAGTTTCTTTAGTTTTTTGTGTTTTGGTGCGTGCAACAGGTTCAACAAAAGCGACTAAATTAGTGCAAAATTTTACAACACATGTCATGTAAAAAAAAAAAGAGTGTGTGTGCGTGTGTGTATGTGCGTGTATGCATGCATACATATCTGTGTGTGCGTGTGAGGAAGTTATAGTTTAATGTTGGTTAGTCTCAATTGTCGACGGCGACGCATTGCGGCTGATTGATGCCAGTTGCTGCTGTTGTTGTTGGCTGCTACTTTGGACAAACAAATGTAAGTATGCAATTGTATGTGTGTGTGTGTGTGTGTGTGTGTGTGTGTGTGTGTGTGTGTGTGTGTGTGCGCGCGCGAGAGAGGAAGAGAGTGCAAAACGAAAGCCGCAAGACAAAGTGCAATAGCAACCAACAGCAGCAGCAGCAGCAGCCGTTGATCTTTTTATGCTGCTGCTGTTTATCAATGAAAGTGTTTTTGCTTCTTCCTTCTTTTCATTATTTATTTTGTTTTTTTTTGGGTGCTGCCAACTTGTTGCATTTGCAAGCTTTAAATGCAGCTTGCATGTCATGCAGCTGCTGTGTCTTAAGTGAGCTAAATTGCCTTGACTAATGCTGTTATGCTTAAGTTTTTTTGTCGTTTTGTTTTTTATTATTTATTAGCTAGCTATATTACAACTGTGTCAATACAAACACACACACACACACACACATGCATATATATGTATATATATTTAATATTATTAACTGTAGTAGCTGCTAAGAATCGTGTCTGCAAAATTTGAATATCAAATAGTTGTTTGTTTTCTGCTAGTTTTTTTTCCCTCTTTGCCGCACCCTGTTCTTAAAGCGCAGGCGGTAGAAGGCATCGCCGATTCCACTTTGCATCTGAATATATGGGTTTTTGCATCTCACGCTCAGAAATACATACTTTCTATGACAAGGCTCGACAACAACGCAGCCATAAAAGTGGGCGTGTCGTGACGTCATAAATCTGCTTTGCTTAGGTGTCTGAGCGTTGAACTAACGTGCGGCAGGTCGCCGGTTCAAAGGCAGCACCAGATTTTTTAATTTTTAATTGCATCTTGCTGTTTGCAGGGTATTTGCTAGTTGGTCACCTTCCGCTAGATTATAGCTGTTTGCAGGGTATTTGCTAGTTGATCACTGTGTTGCTCTTGTTGCTTTTGAATTTTTATAGTTTTTCTCCTATTCATCTCGCTTGGTCCGCAACCCAAAATTAACTCTATAAAACGTGACATTTTCTTAGCTACATTTACAATAATGTTTTTTTTTTTTTTTTTGCACTTGGGCTTATTTGTTCTTCTTTATTATATATGTAGGTTCCTTCAGTGTGTGTGTGCGTATGCGTGTGTGTGTGTGTGTGTGTGGGGCTGTTAAACTGTTTTACATATGTAGCATGTGTATTGAGAAATGCCGTTGCCAGCGGCAGAGGCAGAGGCAGCGACAGAGGCAGCGGCAGCGACAGCGACAGCGACAGCAACAACAACAATAACAACAACAATGAGAAGAAACCTTTTGATAATCATATCACGCAGTCCACTGATAATTCCCCATTGTATTCTATTTGTTGTTGTTGCATCGTATTATCAGCTGCGCTCACGCTCTCTCTCTCTCTCTCCCTCTCACTCTCACTCTCTCTCCCTTTCTCTCTTATAGTCGCTCTTTCTGCCACTCTTTAGCGCTTAGTCCTAAGAGCGCACGACAAAATTCATCCATTTATTTGTCTCTTATTTAATTTTCTTTTTTAATTTGCCGCCTCGAAATTGGAATTTCTTTGCATACAAGCAAATATTTGTGTTTTGTTATTGTTGTTGTTTTTATTGCTATTATTAAATTTAGAATACAGTGAAAACTCACGTAGTTCGATTGTTTCAATCGATAATATATGCTATACATCCATAATAATCACTTAAATAATATATCTATTATCTTAAATCTTTTATCAAAAAGAAATAAAACGTGTTTCTTTAAAGAAAATCTCAGGCTCAGATATAATATTTATATATATATAACATGTTTACAACTCGAGAAATAGTTATATTTATATTTATTCCACATTTTTAAAGAGATTAAATAAATGTGTTTTCATCTATTTGAGCACGTTAAGAACTTGTTTCAGTGACAAAGTCGTCTGGAATTTATCTTATATATCATACACTTCGTATTCACATAGATCTCGAATCCAGAAATTCTTTGTTTACAGTTAAAACACGTCGCTTTTATTTAATCAGACGAAATACTAGATATTCATTTGCCTATGCCCGTAGCATAACTTTCGTACTATAAAGTTATTTTGTTTGTCTTTTGTTGGACTTTTAGACTTTGTGTCTCAGTCGCAGTTCGAGGCCTTTTTTTTTTTACTTCTATAAACAAAGTTGTCTTATTTTTATACAATCAATTCACTTTGATAGATAACTGCTATAAAATTTGTTTACATGTTGTTTATTGTAAGGGCGTTACGATTATTATACCCTGCACCCATTGAAAATGATTGAAGTGGGCATATTGGTTTTGTGCAAATCTTTGTAACAGGCAGACGCAGGCATATCCGACCCTGTAGAGTGTATATATTCTTGATCTAGAGACTTAAAATTTCAAATATATATTCTCGTTTATCCTAGGCAGAACACGTTTATCATTAAATGAGCTAGATATACCCAATTTGGTGCACAGGTTCTCGTTAAAGTATATAAAGATTACAAATATTTCACTTTTGTGTACCTTTTCCCATTCTCTTAAAGTTGAAAATATAATTGAATAAAGCTAGAAATTTCATACAGATCGGACTATAAATACCGATTCTATTCAAATTCAAATTTCTCATCGTTTGCCGCAAGGTGAAGAAGCACAGCCGCAGCGTGTGCGTGTGTATGTGTGTGTATATGTGTGTGTATGTATGTTGAGAGGGAAGCTCGAATTGGGAGTTTTCCCTTTATTCATTTAATACATTAATTTCAGGTTCTTCTAGCTTATCGTTGAGTTATCCTCATGTTAAAAGTTAGCTATAAGGTAGGCTTTATGCTGAAAAGCTTCTCGTCGACTTATCCTCATGTTAAAAGTTAGCTGTAAGGTAGGCTTAATGCTAAAAAGCTTCTCGTTAACTTATTCATTTTTAAATATGTAATTAATTCATAAAATTAAATTTGTTTTCATATATAAAAAAATGCTACCAGCTTGATTAACCAGCCTCATGTTAAATGTTTGCCGTAAGATAATATATTGGTTGGCAGTTTTGGGGTATGCTAAGGAAATAGAACACAGGCAGAAACATAGTGGAAATGAAACGTTGTGCGGCATCCGAAGCCAAAAAAAAATATGATTTTCAAACTATTGTGTAATTTACATTAACGAGCGGATGTCGTTGGCTTCTACAATATAATGAACCAATTACCCAGTTTGTCTCTTGATTCGATTGCTCGTACACAGCTGCAGCTGCGGCCACAGAAACATAGATACAAATACAGCCACAGCTACAGATACAGATACCGATACAGATACAGATACAGATACATATGCTGATGCTGAGATTCGCCAGAGATTTGGTGCGCCTTTTGCGCTGCCATTTAAATATATTCATTCATGTTGAAAGACACCCACTTGATGCCAGCGGATGATTATGAACATTAAAGCGTTGCGAATATGCTGCGAAATATACTTGAAGATACAAGATATATAAAACTATAAGATATCAGATACTGTATTTGCAGCTAGCATATGAATTTCTGTCATATTCCCCGGCATTTCGAGTGCCGCTTCCGCATTTGCCGGCCACCCACGTGCCAAGCCCCGAATATTTATGAGTATTTGTGAGTATTTGTGAGTATACTCAGCAGCTAAGTAGTTGTACTCGTTTCTATCAACAGCAGCTGGCCCCCCAAGCGAATTGTTACCCAAAAACTGCAACTCAACTCAGCAGCTGTCATTTGGCAAATATGACGATTAAATTCTTCAATTACGATTCGCTTGCGCCCAAATGGCAAAGCCAGTGCCTAAACTCATGCTATACACCGACTGTCTGACTTGTATCTGAATAAATAAATACCCTACATATACCCTAACATAAGTTCGATAATTCCTTGGTGTGTTGCTCGGTTGTACAACTGACAATTTATTGGAGACATCTCTCATTTCCATGTTGTAAAAGGGGAGCAAAAATAAATATTTGTTCGATCGTATTGAAACTTCATTTTTAATAAGTGTTTTACCCATTCGGTTTCATCGAATCTCAAGGTCAGAAAATTAAAGATTGTCCGCTTCGAACTTGTTACAAAATAACTAAACATAGCTTTCGCTTTCTTTCCTTACCACTCTATAGAAAACCCGCTCCTAAATAACTTCGGAACCTGTTGTCCGATCCTTATGCAAATTACTGGTCACAAATACACCTGAATGTTTGTGAATACCAAAGCCCAGGTTCCAGGTTCATTCCAAATATGACTTGTTAACTTGTCAAGTCTTTGTGCGCGGGGAGCGGTATCTAAGTATTATGGAAAATATAGGAGCCTGCATACTAGACTTTGTGTCTCTAGCTCTAATTAGACCCCAGATATAGTGGAATAGCAAGATATAGATATCGGTTCTTGCCGATTTCATACAGTCTCCGATCGAACGATCGAACCATAGGACCTACCCTCAATTTTATGTAAGTCTCTAGGTCTTACAGCTTCTGAGATCGTCGAGTTTGGGCAGACGGACAGACAGACAGAATATATATAATTTACGGGGTTGAAGAACTCTTCTTCTGCCTATTACATATATTCGCACAAGACTTTTTGGCCATGATGATTCTCTGGTTTTGGATAATCGAGGTCTCTCTCACTCCTTATTTTTTTACTCTCCTTCTTTTTGTCTCTCTGTCACCCTCTTTCTGGGTCCCTCATTCTCCCTCTTACTCTCCCTTTCTCTCAAATTCTCTCTGTCTCTCTCTTTCTTTCTGACTCTATGTTTCTCGCTCTCTCATTTACTCTCTTTCTATTTCCCTCTCTCTCACTTTCACTATTTCGCTCTTACTCATTCATTTTAACTCTTTCCATCTTTCTCTTTCGTACTCTCTAATTTTTACTCTTTCCTTCTTTCTCTTTCTTTCATACTCTCTCTGTCTCTTCTTCTCTCTCTCTCTCTCGCTCTCTCTCTCTCTCTCTTCTCTCTCTCTCTCTCTCTCTGTCTTACTCTCTCTCTCTCTCAATCTCGCTCTCTCTCACTTTTTTATTCTCGCTCTCTCTCTCTCTCTCTCTCTCTCTCTATCCTCTCAATCTCTGACTC